CCCCCCCAAATCAGCCCAAAAGAATGATATCCATTCCCCTTGGTTTGCCTTTCATTGGAGACCCTACAACCACACCCATCCCTGATTTTATTCCAATAAAAGGACCTAAAACATGGCTGATATTTCAAGGCTTTGAGAGAGGATGTTGCTAGGAAGTTTCCTTATGTCTACATTCAATGTATTGTGTATTTCTTCTCCCTTCCCCCTGCCTATATAATCAGGCCCTATTGCCATTGTAAACACAACTTTGAATATTAAAACTCCCTTTTACTCTTTGAGTATTTATAAAATAGTGTGATGCTATTTTAGCCAAATTCCTAATTCTATATCTTAAGAGTGGTTATTTTAAGAGTGAGTTTTAGGTTCTAGATATTTGATTAAGTGTGTCATATCTTAATTAAATACTAGAATTCAACCCCAAGTTAATCTAGAGGTGAGCTTATCCTTTAGTATTAATTTGGCTCCAAATTAAGATAAGAGTGTGTTTATCTCTTATTCCTTATTTGGAATTTATCCCATCCTTTCTAAACCCATCCTTCATCCCTGATTTTCCACTCTTCTTCATAATATCAAAACCCAAAAAGAACTCCTTCACATTCCCATATTTTCATCCAGCCCATTTCCCCTTCATTATTCCACAGTTCCATCTCCAAAAATAACAACTTGATAAGACCCCCGGTTCACCCCTAACATATGAGGATAATAAATTTATGCTTTGCTGATGATCTCATAGTGGTTAGTAAGGCTGATGAAAAAACTGTTTCCTATATTATGAGAACTCTGGAGGAATTCAAATTGGCAACTGGATTGAACATAAATAAGAGCAAATCACAGATTGTATTTGGAGGGATAAACCAACAAAAACAGTAGGAGTTGTTGGCACTGACTGGAATGAAAATGGGGAAACTGCCTTTCACTTAGGTAGTCCCATCACTACAACCAGACTGAGAGCAAAAGAATATGAAATCCTAATATCTAAGTAATCCTAATATCCTAACATCTTCCCAATTTACCTGGGGTTCAAGACATTTTTCATATAGCGCCAGAGTAAGGATTATTAACTCAGTACTTATGGGCATTATTACATTCTGGTCAAGAATTTTTATATTGCCTCAACAAGTTATCAAAAGGGTAACAGCAATATGTCAAAACTTTCTCTGGGGAAGCACTCATGAGTATAAGAAAATACCCCTGGTTAATTGGGAAGATGTTTGTCAGGAAAAGAAGCATGGAGGTCTGGGGATTAAGAACATCTCAAACTGGAACAAAGCTTCAATTATGAGGCTGAATTGGGATATAGCTGACAATAAGGAGGTCCTATGGGTTAAATGGATACATAGTAGATATATCAAGGGGAGAGACTTCTGGAGCTACACACCTAAACCTGACTCTTGTCACTACTGGAGGGAAATGATAAGTGTAAGGAATGAATTCAGAGAAATGCCAATTACTGCTAAAGGGTATAAAGCTGGAGAAGGCTACTACTGGCTACAGAAGGAGAAAATCAAGCCAGACTGGGTAAGCTTGGTGTGGAACAAGTTTACTCCCCCAAAAATTCAACACATCTTATGGCTTCTGATGAGAGGGAGACTACAAACAAAAGAGAGATTGAGTAGGTTTCTGCAGTTAGATACAACTTGTGTGTTGTGCAAAGAAGAAGTGGAAACTGATACACACCTATTCTGGAGTTGCAGGGTTGCACAAGAGGCGTACAAAGAAAGCTATACCAAGTTCAAGTATCAAGCACAGATTTCCAACCGAGGGGAACGGGACTGCTTAAGACAGGAAATGGGAAAAGAAGGAAAATACTTATGGCAATCTGGGCTGCGTGTGCTTATGGCATATGAAGGATGCGAAACCATGGTTGTCAAGTCGACAAGTCGAGTCGAGTCGGTGACGGGGAGACTAGTGGACTAGGCGACTAGTCGTAGACTAGTCGACAAATCATAATTAGTATTGAAATTTTTAACATTATATATATCTACATTAACCCAACAAGAATATATATATTTATATGTCAAAATACCATAACCAAATCAAATTTATGTTTAAAGATAGCACATAAAGTCACTTAACAAAGAGTACATAACAAGCAAATATCCTTCAATCTTAAAAAATAACACACCAAGAAAGATAATTAACACAATAAGAAGTCAAAGGACATTAAAATAGTTAATTCCATGTTTTGAGGTATCAAATATCATCATCCAACGTCCTATGCCACCA